GCCTCCAGGTGACTGATACTCACATCACATGGCTATGGTTCCCAGGTGACTGATACTCACATCACATGGCTATCGTTCACAGGTGACTCATACTCACATGTGAACGATAGCCATGTGATGTGAGTATCAGTCACCTGGAGGCAGGACTCAAAAGCCTGAATTTTGCCTGAAACTCTCAGACTGAAGAAGTCTCTTGGAAGAGAGACGAAACGTTTCATTAAAGACGAACCCGTCCAGAAGACCTATACAATTTTTTTTCCTTTTGATTTTTTACCTGGATTACTGAGATGCATCAGGACATTTGTGCTGTATGATATTGTAAAACCTCACAAGAAGCCCGAACCTGACCCGCCCCGCCCATCAACTACATAATTTCGGCCTGACCTCAAAATTATGTACTTGATGGGTGGGTCGGTTCGGGCTCGGGTTTGGGTCAGAAATCACAACTCTATCTCAGATTAACTCATGATTAGCTGAGAAACCTGACAAATATTCAAATCTAACGGAGAACTTTGTATTGACTTCCATTCATTTTTGTAACTGTATTTATGCCTAACCCACACTTTACCTAAAACTAACAATTACTAATTTAGTCGTAGGTATGGTGTGGATTAAGTTTTGGTTCAGGTCTGAACCAAAACAATTCACACCATACCTTTAAACCTAGTAGAGCGCAGTAGAGCTGCAAAAAAAGTGAGGACCAGGACAAGATCCTCACTTTACATCAAAGACCTCACAGAATTTTGCAAGTGGTCCTCACTCTGTAGCAGAAACAAGTCACACACATACAGACAGGTTTGTTTTTATATCCCCATGGGGACCGTAGATTGACTTCCATTCAATTTCTGGGAATTTTTTAGCCTAACCCTGACTATTTACCCTAGAATTAACCTCACAGGTGCCTACCTGACCCTAAAACTAACCTGAACTCAATTCACACCTTGGTCCTAAACCAAACCCCCACCCGAAATAAGCATCCATTCTCGTGGGGACCGGGCATTGGTCTCCACAATGTACATTGGGTACCCTACAAGGTTGCCATTTTCTGGAAAATGGTTCCTAAAATGTAGCAAAAATGTGCCCACACACACACACACACACACACACACACACACACACACACACACACACACCCATAAT